ATTCTATAGTAGCTATAAATGTGAAGGCCATAAACTTTTGATTATCTTCACCACCAGAAGTCTCACTCCGAGCACAAGAATATGATTCATCATCACTTAAGGTCATTGCTAAGGCCTTACGTCTACCATTGTTAGAACTCCTTTTCAAGTTAGGACATTCATTCCTATAGTGACTGTAACCCTGACACTCATGACATCTAACAGATTGGGTTTTCTTATTAGAAGTCCTAGAGTCACTCTCTTCACGATTATCTTTCACGAATTTACTAGGAAATCCACTTTTCCGTTCTTGAGGTTTTCTCCTATTCCTAATCACTTTCTGAAATTTTTTAACGAAATAAGCTATTTCGTCATCCCCAAGTGACTCAGCATCGGTAGACTCGCTTTCCTATTTTCTAATGGTGTTCATGGCGATGGATTTAACATTTTTAGGTTGAAAGACAGTAAGTTCATAAGTTTGAAAAGATCCTACGAGTTCTTCTATCTTAACAACATCGAAGTCCTTACTTTCTTCAGTTACCTTAGGTCTAAACCTTTCGGGCAGGGATCTAAGGACTTTTCTAATGATTTTGGACTCGAGGATCATTTCACCTAAGTTAAAGCTCAAATTCGCTATGTCATTCAGCTTCGCATATAATTCGCCGAATGATTCATTGTCCTTCATCCTAATCTCTTCAAACATAGTGGTTAACATCTGCAGTTTAGAATTCTTAACCGTTTTAGTTCCCTCATGAATTCTTAACTTCCTTGGCAATTTCATACATTGAGACTCTCCTAAATTCTTCAATAGACACAGCCATGAACAGAGCATGTAATACTTTACTGTTCCAGTTGATTCATCTAACTTAATTTTAGTCCATAGACAAATGTGAATGGGTGTGACTACACCAGCAACGGTTGTTGAAGGTGGAGCCTACCCATTTTAAACGCTAATTCAAATATGTTCATCCAAAAATTTAAGGAAGACTCTCATTCGAAGTTTCCAGTAGGCATAGTTGCTTCCATAAAAAAAAAACGGAGGCATAGACAATGACTGACTCATCTAGATGTTATAAAAGGTCAGAAATCGAATTAAGGTTCTGATACCAATTGAAAGTTACGTAGTTCGACCCTAACAATACCTAGAGATGGTGAATAACTATATTATGCAGAATTAAAATTATCAATTAATTA